CCACTCACCTCAGCCTCCCAAAGGCGCGAGATTACAGGCTGAGCCATCGAGCCCGGCTCAGAGGAGGATTTTTAATATAGTATAGTACATCTCAACTCTAGCAACAATAGATAGCCCTGACTTTCCTATTTCTGATTTTATTTAAAATAATAACCAACAAGAAACAATAGGAGCCTCCTATAGAGTAAGTTGCTAGAGCACGCCCAGCTTGTTCAGAGACACAGGAAAAGTTTCTTCTCCAGGTAATTCCTCTTTAGTGCCCTACGGCACACTGACCTAATGCCATGGGCCACCACTGTACCTGCATGTCAGAGTTGGTGAAGCTGCAGGCCGACAGGTAGTTGGTGTGCATAGCAACAGACTTCTTTTTGGCAGCCATGTTTTCATTTTTGTCAAACGTCAAAGGATACACAGAACACTTATTGTCCAAACCACTAGCATGGAAAGAAAGAAGTACCTGAGGTTAATTGCAGAGCAATAGAACATGTGTATACCTTCGCATTCACACGCACGTCTCAAAATTTTTTTCTTTGGCAGTATCAAATATTGTAACCTTCCCTCAGACTTTTACTTTGAAGATGTTCAAACCTATTGTAAAATGGAAAGAAAAATAGTACAATGAACACCTAGATCCCTTCACTTAGATTCACACACTTAACATTTTGTTATATTTGTGGAAGCAAAATCTGAACCATTTGACTGCAAACTGCAGATATGACATTTTACTTCTAAATATTTCCGTTTGCAAATTTACATCTCCTAAAAAGAACATTCTCCTATTTAGCCACTACATCATTATCACAGCTAAGAAAATTAACCAAAACTTCTCAGCATCATCTAACAAGCCATTCAGATTCAATCTCCTCCAGTTGTCCTCAGGATCCAGGGCCCAACCAAACCTTCCACACTGCATTCAGTTGTTAGGCCTTTTTAAATCTAGAAGAGACTCTACGCATTTTTAGTTGTTCACAAGAGATCTCAGCTGTTTATAGAATGTCACACACTCTGGGTTTGTCAAATTGGTTCTTAGTGTTAGATTCAATGACTGCATAACATTTTTGGTAATAACAGCATAAAGGTGATGTTGTTTGTATACATCTTTTTTTTCTTCTGAGTTGGAGTCTCACTGTCACTCAGGCTGGAATGCAGTGGTACACTCATGGCCACAGCCACTGCAGCCCCAACCTGCTGGGCTCAGATGATCCTTCCACCTCAGCCTTCCAAGTAGCTGGAACTACAGGTGCGTGCCACCATGCCCGGATAATTTATTTATTGTAGAGACAAGGTCTCGCCATGTTACCCAAACTGGTCTCAAACCCCTGGGCTCAGGCAATCCTCTCGCCTCTGCCTCCCAAAGTGCAGGGATTACAGGATTGAGACACTGCACCTGGCCAACATATACATCTTTCTTATTGCTTTATGTCAGAAGGCTTGGAATGCTTCTGTTGTTCTATGACTGGTCATGCCAACTTTGATGACATGGTTAAGATGGACCACTAGACCTCTCCATGGAAAAGGTAATTTGTTTATACTTAGTAATAATCTGTACTGTGATATTTCAAGACCACAAAAATATTCTTTCCTCCAACAACCTTTCACACAATGGCTTTAGCATTATTTTTGCTTGAATCAAATATTACTTGAGGGGTGCAAAATGGTAATTTGATAATGCCTTCCACATTTATTAACTGGTATTTTTCTGTAAAGAAGAATCTTCTGCCCCCAGTATCACTCATGGAGTTTTTTTTTCTGCTTCATTGTGTTGTGCTCCATTACTATGATTATTTCACTTGATGTTCAAGATGCCCCAAATTTGGACAGTGGGGGCCTCTTCAAGTCAGCTTCTGCTTCTTTCTGATAGGACTCCTATTGGTCCTTGAACATATCTTCACTTTCTGGAACAAGACAAGAACCTAGACTCATATTATTATTTTCCTAAGATCTAAAATCAGTCTCACTCCAAGGAGCCCTGCTTCTTTCTAGTAGAGAACACTATTTAAGTTGAGGCACTCTTTTCCGAGATCCTGGGGAAGCTAGGGGCTCCTCTGCCTTTCCAACTGCTTGGAAGTATGGGTGTATACTTGGGTAGTTTATTACCAGTAATGAGCTTTGGCAAACTTGTTTATAGACTGTGTGGATGAGAAGGACTTGCACTTGGGTTGTGGTGATGGACAAGCGTGCCATGGCTATGATCTTCTCAGATCCTCAAGCTGGGATATGCCCTCCTCATCCTGATGCTTCAGAGTGATTTCTCTGTAGTTCTGTTGGGACACTTACCATTCTGAGTTATTGGCATTGCCATGAGAAGCAGGGAGCTTTTGCGGGGTGATGCAACTGGTGCTGAATCTCTGCTTGAGTACTGAACTAATTTTGTAATCTTGGTTATGCACTCATCTTTGAATTCCATTAGGACGCCATGCCAGTGTCTTGCATACATAGTAAATGTACAATACTTAAATGAAGGGTCCTTGGGGATATAGCTCTCAAATAAGAAATACTTGTACATATAATCAATTGACTCATTTTTTGGGGGAAAGGAATTGTGCCAATATTATTGAGGTTTTAGCTTTCAAGTTTAAAACAACTGGAGACAGACCCAGTAGCCAGGCAGATGGGGATAAAAAAAATCTCTCCATTATTACCCATAATGCCATTTGTAGAAGGTGGCACAGGTGTGGGTCTATGTGATAATGGAATTACAGGGATATCACAAAACCATGGCTGAGAAACATGTTGACTTAGCACTAGAAACTCCAATTAATCACAGTTGCTTTTAGCAGTTCTAGGAAATGATCTGGGAAGGGGAGATGGCATGTTTACCTATGAGGATTCAGTATTACTCAGTTTAGGGTTTTGTTTTGTTTTTTTTTGAGAGAGGGTCTCACTCTGTTGTCCAACCTGGAGTGCAGTGGCGGGATCCTGGCTCACCGCAGCCTCAACTCCTGGACTCAAGTGATCCTCCCACCTCAGCCTCCCAAGCAGCTGGGACTAAAGGTGAATGACACCACACTCAGCTAAATTTTTAAAAAGTTTTATGTAGAGACAAAACTATGATATCAGCTATGTTGCCTAGGCTGGTATCAAGCAATCCCCTCACTTCAGCCTCTGAAAGTACTGAGATTACAGGCATTAGCCACCACACCTGGCCTAGCTTAGTTTTTGATGCTCTCTCCTTATCTAACAGATTTCCATATTTTAAAACATGCTTTCACAGATATTCACACCTCGAACTTTCAGTGCTTTGGCTGTCATAACAGCCAGTGAGGCAGCCAGTACAGGTGTTAACCACCTCTCATATGCCAGGGCCTAGAGAACCAGAGATGAAGATTAAGGCACCAGTCATCCCTCCACCCTGAACTCTGTTTTTGCATCAGGTTAAGTCACCAGAAAGCTGTATCTCTGAGCACTGTAAAACTGTTCTCTTCCTTCCTATCTACCTGCCCTCATGGAAATTCTTCCACTGCCTTCCATTAGTGAAGGTCAAAATAAGAGATTGTCTACAGCATCATTTTCTAAACTACAGTCAAAAACACTGTTATTATATTTATTGTATATTGCAGAAGGATCTACCCAATATATTTTTTTCTGTACTTTAGAACTGGATACCTAATATTTAAATACCGGGCAATGAGGAATTATGCAACCTATCTAACTTTATGCATCTACTAAAATTAATGTCCAATTAGAAACACGTTACCCTAGGATTTTTTAAAATGTGGAATATTATTCCAACTGAGTATTGAAAAATTGTTACTCAAAGGAGGTCTGGCTTTTGCCCTCAGCTACTGAGAGGTGATCTCTGGACCCCTGGAATGCTCTGCCTGGTAAGAGTGACTTTGTTTGTTTGGGGGTTTTAGCCACTTCATTGTTTGACAATGTGATTTATGATGGGGGCTTTGAGACATGGCTTTTCAGATCTGACCTCTAGAGAACTTGAGATGAAAGGTATCAGCCCAGCCGGGTGTGGTGGCTCATACCTGTAATCCCAGCACTTTGGGAGGTGCAGGTAAGAGGATTGCCTGAGTCCAGGGTTTCAAGACCAGCCTGGGCAACATGGTGAGCCCTTGTCTCTACAGTAAATAAAAAAAAATTAGCTGGGCATGGTGGCGAGCTCCCGTAGTTCCAGCTACTTGGAAGGCTGAGGCAGAAGGATTGTCTGAGCCCAGCCGGTCGAGGCTGTGGTGGCCGTGAGCGTGCCACCGCACTCCAACCTGGGCACCAGAATGAGATGCCCACTCAAAACAACAGCAACAACAGGCATCAGCTCGAACCTCCAGAGGAGACTGGTGACTAAAGATGAGCCATATGGTCACAGCAACTTGGATGGAACTGGAGGCCAGGATCTTAAGTGAAACAAATCAGACACAGAAAGACAGATATTACATGTTCTCACTCATCATTGGGAGCTAAATAGTATGTGCACATGGAAGCAGGGAGTGGAATGATAGACACTGGAGACTCGAAAGGGCGGTGCTGGGGTAAGATGGGGGTAAAGGATGAGAAATTACTTAAGGGGTACCATGTACATTATTTGGGTGAATACCTTAAAGCCCTAACTCGACCGCTCTGCAATCTATGCATGTGACAAAATTGCACTCATACCTCACACAGACATTTATATAAATAAAAATAAATTTTAAAAAAAGGTTAGTCATGTGGCCATATGTGATTGAGTTCCAGGGAAACCTCTGGACACCTAAGGCTCAGGGGAGCTGCCCCAGCTGGCAATACTCCGTGTGTACTACACACACCTGTGGCCAGGAGGTCTTGGTAACTGTTAAAGAGAGAGTGGGAATATATCCCCAAAGCAGCCACTCAAATGAAGGGGACACTGGGAAGATGGCTGGTGTGACTGACTGGAGAGGGTGCCATAATTTTTTTTGTTTGGAAGCCCAGGCTTTTCCTTTTTTAAATAAAATTATTTTTTCCTGATTATAAAAATAATACATGCTTACTTTTAAAAACTGAAAATAGAAAAATTATAAAGAAGATTAAAAAAAACTCCCATAGTTCCATCACCTGGAAATAATTACTATTTGGTGTAGTCATCCCAGCCTTCATACCATGACTCTTTTTAAAAACATGGCTGAGATACTACTGCAGAAATACTTTGAATGGTCCCAGAATTGTATAACACAGGGACAGAGAATTACATTGATTTCAGTTCCCACTGCCAATCCTGCTAACCTGAGCGCCAGGAGAACAAAGAATAAGGTATGATCTTCCTGGTAATCTTGGTGCTCTTTTCACATAATGTAGTCAGAAATTTTCCCTTTTAATGGCTGTTTAATATTTCATTCAATTCACGTACCACCATTCACTAAACAATTTTTTTGATGTATATATTGTTTCCTTTTTTCTTTCTTTTATGTTTTTTGCTTTATTTTTTAAAAGTTACAACAAATGTCATTGTTCACATGGCTTTTCTATATTTTGGATCATTCCTTTCAAACAAGTTCCCGGATGTGGAGTCATGAGATCAAAGGTTGTGAGTCTTTCAAGGTTTCTGACAGAAATTACCAACTTGCTTTCCAAAATGTGTGCGATAACTTATTGTCTCACCAACAGCATTTGAGAGCACAAGGGACAGGTTTCAAACTTAACTATTGTCAGTCTGTAATGAAAATAATTATGAAAGAGTTTTATGGTTTCTTCTTCCTCTCTTTTGAGACAGGGTCGTGCTATGTTGCTCAGGCAGGACGTGAACTCCTGGGCTCATGATACTCCTACCTCAGCCTCCCAATAGCTGGGATTACAGGTGGGCACCATCGCACCTGACTTCAGGTTTCTTCTTTGATAAAGTTCAGAGAATTTAACACATTGCTTAACAAGTAAACAATGATAAGTTCTTGTTGGTTTGCTTGTTTCTGCCTATAGAACAGTATTTTATGGCTAATGTGAAATCCAGAAAAGCTGCTTAGCCCCAACTTACCCACAAGCAATGGCACATCCCGACGGGGCATAAGCACACGCCATCACCCACGTGCAGGGCATAGTGACTGCATGCTCCTGAAACACAGCATGTACCGTTCACAGAGTGAATGACCAGCACTTCTACACGGGGTCTTAACGTTTAATTTTTACAAAATAAGATCACCAGAACTTTAAAAGGAAGTGGTGTGGAATGAAGATAGACTAGAGACCAAAGAGAGGACATAGCCCCTACATAACCAACCAAAATTTGTCACATATTCTAAAAGTTAAAAATCTCAACTCTCAAAAAAACCACCTTTCTGTTTTACTTCCTTCTTACTTACTTCCTTTGTCTTTCTGCCTGAGTACTGGGGCACTTTTTCTTTGAAAGGTATGTCCAAGTTCAATGGGAGACATGGACCCTGGTCCTGGTTCTAATGTCAACAAGATATGTGACCCCACACAGACTGGCTGTATGTTCTACCCTGGCCCTCATTCTCTGTGAAGTAAGAAGATGGCACTAGAGGGTTTCAATGTACACTCAAGTGCTGGGGTTCTTTTCTGTTACGATTCTGTGTTTTTGAGGGGAAACACAGGTCCTAATACTGCCTGCCAATATTCTGTATGTAATGGCTACATACTCTGCCGTGGGACACAAATGCCAGGTCCCTACCCCACCAGCCAACTCTCCAGAAATCAGTCCATGCTCTCTGTGCCACACTGAGGTGTCAACAGAAGTACTTAAGCCCACACAGTCCGGAAGATGCCGAGGAATGCTGGGAGAGGCAGAGGCTTCCAAGGAGGCAAGTGTATATACGGAAGCCCTGTGCAAATTGCTGTTTTTGTTGTTCCCCAGAGCCCTGACCACTAGCCCTGACATTGCAAAATGGTCTGGCCCTTTACTTGACCCGGTCACATGATGGCCTTCTTTTTACATAAATATTGGAATCCATATTTAATACCTGGTATTCTTTATTGTAAATGCCAATATAATGCAGGCATGTGATTGTTCCTGCACATAGGCTTTGGCCTTCATCTAGGTAAGAGTCTAAATTTAGATCTAACTTGAGCCATGCATGCCCAGGCCAGACTCTGCTGCATCACAGGGTGGCTCAGCTCAATGCCACTACAGCCTCATCTTCCCACCCCTCTGTGTGCTCATTCCCACAGTGCTGTGGAGCCTGGTCAAAGGTAGAGAGGGGAGATAATCGAGAATTTTGGAACCTCTTACCATCAACCAGAAGTAAAACAACACATGCAGTTGCGTATGTAAACTTTTCATGCTCTGCCCATTCCCACTTTAGAACTGCACCCCCCAGCGGTGGCTCCTCATATTCCTCTCATGGTAAGAGGGGAGCACAGGCTGCAGTGGATTAGTGGAGCTGTTTAAACATGGACAGGCCTTCTTGGGGTTCCATCCCTAGAGGCAGGCGACCGTTCACACGGATGCCTGGGGGGAACCAGGATGGGGCTGGGCAGCTGGATCAGAGCACCTCCACCTAGGCTGGGATTCTGAGGTGCCCGGATGTGGCTGGGAATAGTGCCTCACCTTGTTCGTAGTGAAGGAATCCCACACGATCACCTTCCCATCCTGGAGGGAAAAAAACAAACAGTTCAGGGGCTGTCAGCAAGTTATTAGAGCTCACTGTTGAGAATTCTGTCTCAAAGTTGTGTCTGGCTGGGTAGTGTGGAGTGGAAAGCCAGAGGCAGGGTCTGGACAGGGAAGTCCCTTCACCCTATCCATGAAAATGGGCGAGGGGCTTAACTTTCCAGCCTGGCTAAGGGATCAGCTCTCGACCTTACTTTCCTTGAACAGCTACGACTGCAGGAAGCAACACGCAGACACTTCTTTTATACCATGTATGCACCAGGCACAAACTGTTGATCTATTGTACCCACCATAACCTAAATGTCAAAAAATTACAGGTGGGGGGAGAGAAAAACTTGAAATCACCTTTAGGTACCTGACAGGTATAAATAAGAAATATCTTTCCCTCACACCAGCCCTACGCCTTCATCCTCTCTGTCACCTGCCTTGGAGTCTAGGACCTCCCCCAACCCCCCACCCCCTCCTCTGTCTATCCATCTGCCTTAGACAGCTGTGGAGGGGGCTGTGTGGGCCTGAGATCAGTCTAACTCCTCCGGGTGCTCATAGATGTCGCAGCTCCCTGCTCTGATATGTTACACCCACACTAAGAACAACGTGTGATGTGCACCTCTCTTTATGGGGATCCCCGTGGGTAGCTTTTCAGCAAGCAAAGGACCCTTCCTGTTAGGGTGAGCTCCAGGGTGGCTGTGCCACAGACAATGCTGCCACCTTCACTGCAACTGTGGCTGCAGCCTACCCTGGGGCTGTGGGGAGCAACAAGTCTTATCTATCTGTAAAAAAAACCCATTAGTGGTAAATCCACCTGAGACTTGGTACCTACAAACCTCACCAGATTGTGGTGTGGAGGTTCTCTGCGAAGTCAGTGAAAGAGGATCAAGTCCTAAGGAATGATAAATCTGCAGCCTCTATAGCAAGCTTGAGGGTTTTTGGTTGCTGTTTGTTTTTTTAGTTGGATTCTCACTCTGTTGCTGAGGCTGGAGTGCAGTGGCACGATCATGTCTCACTACAGTCTCAACCTCCTGGGCTCACGAGATCCTTCTGCCTTAGCCTCCCAACTAGCTGGGACTACAGGTGCATGCCACCATGCCTGGCTAATTTTTTTATTTTTTGAGGAGATGAGGTCTTGCTATGTTCCCTTGGCTGGTCTCAAACTCCTGGACTCAAGCAGTCCTTTTGTCTTGGCTTCCCAAAGTGTTGGGAATATAGGCGTGAGCCACTGCGCTTTATACCAGGCTTGAGTATTGAACCACTCAAGCCATTTGGAGCCAAAGTCAGAGAATGAGGTGAGGGAGATTCAGCTGGAAAAGGCCACTTAGGGGCTGAAGTAAGGTCTGATTCTAAAGTGACACAGCCACTTGCTGTACATGATTCCACGAAACATTTCTTTTTTTTTTTGAATTGGAATCTCACTCTGTCGCCCAGACTTGGAGTGCAGCAGCCGCTCCCGGCCACCGCAGCCTCACCTGCTGGGCTCCGGCGATCCTTCTGCCTCAGCCTTCCCAGTAGCCAGAATTACAGGCATGTGCTACCATGTCCGGCTGATTTTTTAAAAAATTTATTGTAGAGATGAGGTCTCGCTGCCCAGGCGGGTCTCGAACCCGTGGGCTCAGGCAATCCACTCACCTCAGCCTCCCAAAGGTGTGGGATTACAGGCTGAGCCACCAAGCCCGGCTCATTTCTGTGTTAATGCCATATGTGACTCAGGGACCCTGAAACAAGATCAAAGTTGGCAGTTTGGGCCTTTCCAGATTCCTAAAAACATAGGTTCTTCTGGTCTAATTTCTAACTAAATGGCCAAACACGATGAGTGGAGTGGATGTGGTAGGGCTTTAGTGCAGAGAGTAGAGAGGGGCTCCATGCCTGTACCTTGGAGATTTCCACACCCAGAGCCCCGCTTGCTGGGGACTGACTCAGTGCGTTGCCCACATCAGTGCCCACTGCAATGCTTTCTTTCATCTCACTGCCTGCCTGTCCCCTCATTGCTCACCCACTGGAGACTCATTAAACTAAATGTGGTCTCCTCCATGAGCACAGATTTACATGCCAGAGTCCTACATACCTGGAGAGAATGTGCCCCCACCCCCAAATCCTAGCCCCACGTGGTTGGGGTGATGGATCTTCTGCCTTTTAAGGGAGAAGGTCCCTGATGAGTCAAAGTCTGCACCACAGCCTTGCTGCTTTCCAGCCTCCTCTCCACACCCACACCCACCTCTTCTTGCTCTGAAGCAGAGAGGGTGGATGGGTGAGCCCAGCCTTGCTGTAGGCCCTGCCTCCCTCCCTCTCTACTGACAGCAGTATGTGAGTGACAGAAAACCTGACGATAGCATACCTTGTTAGGATTTCGTAAGTCAACGGCTAGTTAGCAACATGTACATCTTGATAATCACTTTGTAGAAATGAGCACTTGAAAAAAACCAAACTAGAAATAAATGCTCTAAAATAATAATAATTGTTGTGGCAGGATGGTGGGAATAAAACCTTTTCGTTGTTCCATTTCCAAGTGTTTCTTTTTATTTTTTTGAGTTGGAGTCTTACTCTGTCACCCAGGCTGGAGTGCAGTGGCATGCTCACAGCCAATGCAGCCTCGACCTGCTGGGTTCAAGCGATCCTTCTGCCTCAGGCTTCCAAGTAGCTGGAACTATAGGCATGCACTACCATGCCTGGCTAATTTTTTTA